TTTTACAACTTTTTTTTAGCACTGTGCATATGACAATTGCACTAATGATCTCTCCAATGCACGTGGTGGATCACTGTGTGATATACACCACTTAGCTCTTGGTTCTCAATGCTTGGTTCGTGGTTGTAATAACAGAAGAGTAGAAAGGACACTTGCATGTCAACAGCACCAACCAGAGTGGCGTAAACATGCAAAGCACAGCAAACATCACAATCAAGCTGGGGTCCGCCGGATGTTACAACGCCCTGGTGAGAGTAATCCTTGGGAACCAAATCGCAGAGGACCAAATCCCCAACAACATGATGCTCCAAATGCAGAACCACGAGAAGCCCCCAATTACTTCCGTGCAGGTAGATTCTATTGTGTTGAAACTATCTGCACACCTTGTGGTGTTGTTATTGCTTGGACAAAGTTTGATAAATCAGAATCACCAACAAATATTTTAAACTTCCTAGGAAAAGTTTATCCAACAGAAGAATCAAGACCTGATTATATTTGTATTGATAAAGGTTGTCAAGTGTTTGCAACTGCAGTAGCAAATGGAAGTTGGGATATTTGGAAAAAAACTACTCGATTTATTGTGGATGCCTACCACTATATCAATCATCGGGTGTTAGATTTTCTATGCCGAAAATATTGTAATCCCTCACCTGGAGATGGATCTGCTCCAAACCTTGTAGTCATGGCATATGATAAGAATGGTAGAGCATATTTGAAGCGAGCATTCAATACACAGGTATTTATTACTTTATTTAGATTCAATCTCACCTCAACACTGTATTACATCTAGGTTTGTGAACAACTTAATGCATGGCTTTGTGGATATCAATCAATTCTCAAACGTATGACACCTGGAAATTTCAACTGGTTTTTACACACCATGCTGTTCTATCACACAAAGTATGTCCTCCACAAACAAGAGATGAAGAAATCAGATGAAGATGAGGAGGAAAACTTAGGTTTAGATGAAGAAGCTCAAGATGATGAGGACAACTAAATAGTAGTGAAGAGAAAGAGGTGTGCAGAAGTGTATATTAGTGTAAATGTATAGTTAACTGAATAGTAGTAAAGAGAAGTATGCAGAAGTGTATATTACTGTAAATTAACATATACTTGCATTTAAATAGAGGTTTTATACCTTATTCTTCTCATATCCTGTCCCATTCCACAGGAATACACAGGAATACACAGGAATTCCTGTGTATTCCACAGGAATTCCACTGGAATGACTAGATTCCTGCAGGAATAGGTGGGGCACTGTAAAGTACTGGTGGTGGGGCTCGTTTGCAGTTGTTTCGTGGGCGCCGGGTCGTTGTCCCTGGTGCTGGGTTGTCGTTCGTGGGCGCCTGGTCGTCCGTTGCGTCGTTCAGGTGGTTCCACGTCGCTTGGCGGCTCGTCTTCGTTCGTGGGTGTCCGTTCACGTTCGTCGGCACTCGTCTTCGTGGGCGGTCAGGTACGTTGCTCATGGGTGGGAAGAAACAACGACGACGACGTTCGTCGTCTGGTTGCCACGTCGCTGACTGCGACGTGGCACCTGGTTTGTCGTCAAAAGAGGGACTGGGAGGGGTCGACGTGTTTGCTTACCTGAACGAGGCGGAACGTCGGTGGACGTGCCGCTCATCGTCGTTCCCATCCATCCTGTGTGCGGCCCGTGTGACGGGCATTGCCATGTCGTTGTCCGTTGTCGTGGGCTTTGTAGTGGCGCGGTGGTTGTGCATCGTTGATGACGGTGGTGCGTGTCGTTGTGCGTCATCAGCGTCGTCGTCGTTGACGTAGCGGGCGGTCGTGGTTTGAGACGGTGGTGGATGCTGGTGGTGGTGGTGGGAAGGAAAGAATGATGTGGCAACACTGCAGCTGCAGCTGTCACACATGAGACGCCACGTGCCTCAAGGCGGTATATACTTACCTTTAGTTTACTACATTGTAAAGCCTTCATGGCTCAGGTGGCTTTAGCGCTGCTTATATTGACGACATCAAGAGTTCAATTCCTGTGAGTGTAAATTTATTTTTTACTTAAATATAGTAAGGACACTATCAATACTATACTATATTTATATGTATTCTAATGGTATAATATCCTTCCATGGAATCCATATGGACTGCTCCATGGAATCCAATGTGGATATGCCTGCATTCCATATGGAATCCAATGTGGATATGCCTGCATTCCATATGGAATCCAATGGAATCCATATGGAGTGGTGTTGGAGTCCATATGGAATTAGTCATTTTATGACTATTCCATATGGAATCCATGATGGCTATGGAATAAGAAACTGGCTGGGTCCTTAGCTAGCATTGATTCCATGGATTCCATATGGAATTCCTGGTGGATTCCATGGATTCCAGATGGAATCCATATGGAATAACCCGGGGAAGGTAAAGACCTCGTAGTCTTGTATAAGTTTGTAGTGTACAGTCAAATCTTTTAAGGCTACAAAAATTGGTAGTGTCTGCTTTTTTAGACTACAAAGTTTTGTAGTGTCCGCTTTTTTAGACTACAAAAGTTTATAGTGTCCGCTTTTCCAGACTACAAATATTTGTAGTGTCTTGCTTTTTCATTAGCAAAGTTTGTCATGTCCGATTTTTTTGACTACAATGATATCCTTGACTGTGTAGGTACATGAAAATAAAGAAGTTGACTTTATACAAAAAGCCCTCCATCATCCAGTCTTTGTACCTTGCAGAGAATTATAGTCAAGACTGACTATTGGAAAGGGTTGCATAGTGGCAAATGAGACAGGATGTCAGAGACTTCAAACTCTTCAGAGAGACCATGTGCAGAGATCATGTCAAGGTTGAATATGGTTGGCAGACATAGATCAGTGCCTAGATATGACC